GAAGCAAAATCACTTTGTGTTACCTTTTTTGATATTCTGGTCGTTTTTCACGCAAAGCTTGATTCAAATCGATCATTTGTTGTCGGTAGCGTTCAATATGAACGGTTTCGCCAGGTTTTCGCCAGCAGCTCACAATAGATCACACCCTTCTGATCCCACCAAACACAGGGGATTGTCTTAGCGTCCATAGCGATTTGGCCTTGCAGTCGATGTCGATGGTTCGCCTGGAGTTACCCATGATCTTTCACGCTTAAGATTCTCAAAATATATCCACTTTTCATCGTCAGTCACAATTCGATGGAGAAATGACTTTCTTTTGTACCTGGCGAGCAGCATTTCGCAAGTGGTTTTTCGCTTTTCCTGCTGTCTTTCATTCAGTTCATGTGGAACCCATTTTCCCATCTTCTGGGTCTCTCCCATGGCTTTCAAACGTATAGGGACGGCTTCTCGTGTCACATTTAATTGATCCGCGAGTTGTCGTTGCGTCTGAGCGTCATCCTCATCCAACAATGCTTGCAATTCGCTGTCTTCAAACTTTTTCGATGGTCTTCCACGTTCTTCGTTTCTCACGTCAAAATCGCCACGTTTGAATTTCTTAAACCACTCAAAGCACTGTGATTTACCAAGAACATGCTCACCGCAAGCCTCGACAAGCATTCGATGCGATTCTGCGCACTGATAGAAAAATATAGTTGAATTAACTATAATCTCACTATATTTTATAATTCATTTTGGCGTCAACCATATTTTTATAGTTCGTGGAGCCTGCAAAATATAGTAGAATAAACACAAATATATAGTCAATGATTGTCTTAAATAATTGTTAGTTACTTTTACCACATATATGATAATTTCTCATTCACAAATATAGTGAGATTTAATATTCATATAGTTACATCTGTCATCTTTACATCTGTCACCATTTAGCAAACACTCTGGTAATATTGACTATATAAAAGAGTTACTTTACCTACCATTTTATATTTGTATCCATACAATAATTTTAGTTTAACTTACTATAATTTTTAGTAAAAATATTATATGCTTGGTTATACCATACCTACATCGTAATTATTACCGATATTACGGTAATACTTGCTATAAATATGATATTTCGGACTATAATTTAGTTACTATATCATTACAGTTCCAAATATCATATACTTTTCTCTCAGTGCAGCAGTTTTCTTCAAATGGTAGCTTCCAGGCACAAAATTCGACATGTTCAGCGCTATTACAAACTACGCTGTTGCATGAAACTTGTATCGTTGTGAGTTGAAAATCTTTGTCAGATGTCAACAAATGGAAATGGCGCCAATGACGCGATTTTGACGGTAACTACATTGACAGCTAGGGCCATCTATAGGCAAATTCCGGTTTCATATTTACAGACCTGGTTACACTTCGACGACACGGAGGAGCTTGAAGCAGTTCATCTCGTCCATCTCGCCCGTATTTTACCGCGGTACCGTAGCCGCTGCGGTAAAATAGCGAAAATCCGCGCGAAGCGCGGAAAATGTGCAGGTGCCTTCGAAGCCTCGGAGCAGCCTCGCGACGGATTACCGACGGATGCGGCGTGCATCCGCCACTCGTCTCGCGCGAATAATTCCTCCACATGGGCAGGGCGGGGAGGGGGGAGGGGGCAAGCCGTAACCACGCGCGTGTGTGCTCGGTCGCCGTGAGAACGCGTGTTTTCCGCGGAATCGGGTTACCATGCGGCGCGAGACGCGCACCGTAACAGCGATCTGCGCGCGTATTCCCGCTAACGAAGCGTAAATTCGTTTAGTATCGATCGCGCTCGCGCGCGACCTCAGCTTTTCCGCGGTGGCTCGCGCGCGATGCAGGCGTTAACTCGCCGGCGCGGCGAGTCTCTCGCTTCGCGGGATGAGAGCGAGATGAGAGAGAGAGAGAGAGAGTGAGTAGCGTATGATCCGGTGTGTATCGTCGCCGCGTTCCGTGGATAGAACACACAGGTACAGAGAGTCGCCGCAGGAGGAGGAGGAGGAGGAGGAGGAGGAGGAGGAGGAGGAGGAGGAAGAGGAGGAGGAGAGTGAGATACGGGGCTATGCGAGATGGCGTGTATATAAACGCGGCATAGAGACGATGCCGGTGTGCATAGCTGTAAACCGGGCTGGCGCAGGTGCATCGAGGCCGTAGAACGCAGGAAGCGTCATGCATAAACGTTGTCGGTCCTGCCTCGCGCGTGTGCGCGCGCGCGCGCGCGTTTTGCTCGCGTGTACATACGCGCTGCCTGCGCGTCACTGTGTGCTGTGGCTGCTTCGCGTGCACGCGTGTGATCCGTGCGAGGATGCTGCGCCATGTATCGCGCGATGCTCTCTCGTCGCTTCTCCGAGCGAAACGACGTCCAGGTTATCAAACTGCCGTTCATGCATAATGCACCGATTCCTGCAGGTATCTCGCGCGCGCGCGCACTCTCTCTCTCTCTCTCTCTCTCTCTCTCTCTCTCTCTCTCGCTCCTCTTCGGACGCCCTCTATTCCTGGCCCCCATCTCGTTGTTTCCTGCTGCTCTCCTCCCTGCTGTTCTCTTCCGTTCATGACCTCCGCACCGAAGTTCGCCTCGATCGCCAGAAAACAAGGTTCCGGAATTCCGGGCCGCCAAAGCTGCGGAAGTGCTGGCATCAGCTGCGGCGGAGATTCACTATCAGATTTCCTCCGTGGAGCGCGCGGGGATGTCATCGTGTGCGAGATAGGCCGTGGAGAGCGCGAGAGGGTTGGGAAAATGCAGCGGATGAACGAGGCGGGTGACGAGCACGGCGACGGCTCCGCGGGTCGTCGAACACACGCGAGCGTGTACGCGCATATTCACGGCGATGAAAGGACGATTTCGTCGCGAAAGCAGCCAGTTGCGCGCGCGCGCGCGATTCAAGCAATCCTCTTCTCATATCTACGAGCGGCAGCGAGCGAAGGAATCGGTCACAACGATGAAACGTGCTAGAAACGAGAAACGCGGGACGTGAACTGCTTTTGTAGACGCGGAGATGCGACATCTTTTCGATTTATGACGTTTCTCATGCGTGCGTATAATCGGAGAAATTACGCGCGGAGTTTCCTTATATAGAAGAAACAGAGGAGCACTGTTCGCGTACCGATTGTGCGAGCGACTTGTGAATTCGACATAGTCGATATTTTATTTACATCGTTCGATGCCGACGGCAACGCATTCACGCGCGAGATATTCGCGCGAGAGGAGATCCTTCATGATTAATAAATTCCTCGGCACCGCAAATTTCTCCCATTCGGCGCATAGATATTTCAGATGCCGTCCGACTAATTCACGCCTGTCCGAATTCGTCGGTGAACTCGTACAGAGGATTACGTCACGACCAGGTTAATAACCTCGTTATATTATCCTCCAGCGGGTACCGCCTCGCACGAGAGGCAGAAAACCGAAGCTGGAAGTGAAAGAGCGAAAGAGGACATGCGCGCGCCGAGCGGCATATACGTTTTATTGCCGATGAAAAGACGGCTTGCTCGAATCCGTGGCCGTAACTGGAGCGATCAATCCGTCAGATCCCTCTTACACGGCATTTTTATTCTCGATACTCGCGCGAGAGGAAAAGCGAGAGTTAGAAGAGCGCGAGAGCGTGAGAGAGAGAGAGAGAGAGAGAGAGAGAGAGAGAGATGGAAAGAAGAATCTTTGAATGTCGGAAATCGACGATCTCCCTTAGCGTAATACGACAAACTTTTTTTCTGATTCTCGCAAGTGTGGAATATTATATCTCGCCTCTCGCGCTCGAGGCCGAGCTCGATAACCTTATAACCTTATCCTTTATAACCGAAATCTGAGCTCTTATTTCCTACTTATCGATACGCGACGGAGGATCCTGAAGCAGGATATATTTAATCCAATGCGGATTCCCGCTAGATCTCTCGTAAAGTTGTCCGACTAAAGTCATTTTTTACGGCGAATTTTCTCATCTTCGCCAGGCTCTAGCTGGCGAATCTGCGACACATGTCTCTCTTTAGAAACTCATATTTATATATTACGTGTTATGATGAAACGGGGTGAATCGATTTTCCTATGCAGAGGAGGAATATAACGTCCGCGTCCGGGAGGTAAGAAATAGTCGCGCCGGTGCTATTTATGCATTCTTCATGCGGCAATGCATCTTGCATCAAAGGCAGACGCTTAAATCGTCCTATCGAATGCATATGACTCGATATTCCAGAGGTCGATCGGCTCTCATTCTTATTGCTCCGTCTCGAGAGCAGCGGGGTGGTACCTGCGAATACGTGTCGTTTAAAATCGGAATGTCGTCTCGACGCCGATTTTTTGCCGTAATGTCCGAGTTCTGCTACACGCCGGATGCGCCTTTGTGTATTATTTATCGTCTAAACTCCTTACTCCGAATACGCCTCGAATGTTGCATAAGCTATACCGTACCTCGGCTTGACGGCGGGAGTCCTTTCTCTCTCTCTCTCTCTAAACCGCGGAAAAATTGGCGGAAATTTATGCGAAATTGTTGCCAACTCCGACGCAACTCTCTCGCTCCGCTTCCGAATATTAGGCGAAATTATTCTTGCCGCGAGCAATCTCTCGATGCGCATTTCCCCGTGAGATCTCGCGATCGAAAGCGTGTGGCGGTGGTTTATTACTCCCTGCGAATTTTTCAACCTCCGCGTCACGGAGTACTTCCAAGTCAGTCAAATTAAACGTCAAAGTTCCGAAGCGAACGAAAGCTCTTCGGGTCTCTCGGGGATTCCGGTAAACGCGAACGATATTTTTCGTCATTCACCTTGCCGGGCTACATTTTTGCACGCGAACGTCCGCCGCCTTAATCATGCACAAGCTCTCGCAAACTATCCCTCAGCTTTAATTCGTGAAAAATTCAAGACTCCGAAAGTTGGGCGCGGGGCGAATTCTCGTTAAAATGAGAATCGACGCTTCCGTGGGCGTCCCATTTGCGCAAGCACGAGCGCCATAGAGCGCAGCCCTTTCTACTTTTAACTAAGCTAGTCGCTTCATTCCCCTGTTTCAGGACGAGGAGTGGTGCTGGACAGCCAAGGGCCGGTGCTGGTCTCGGAACCGCGCTCGAGCGTGGAGTTCTCGAACGACACCGGGGCGATGATCCACTGCTCGGCCCACGGCAGCCCATCGCCGAGGATCGACTGGCTGATGGGCGACGGCTCGCCGGTGCTACCGATACCGCACATCCGTGAGATGCTGGTGAACGGCTCCATGTACTTCCTGCCGTTCGGCGCCGAGAGCTACCGCCACGACGTACACTCGGCCGTCTACCGCTGCCAGGCGTCGAACAGCGTCGGCAAGGTGCTCGGCCGTGAAATCACGGTGAAGGCCGGTGAGTCGGAGACAGAGATAGATGGAGAAAGAAAGAGAGAGAGAGAGTCAGCTATATTTCTTGCGGACTCCCTCGCGACATCGTTCACCCGCTCCGCCGCTTCCGACCGATTGCTCTTTCGCCCGGCCTTTAAAGGCCGCGCGCTGAGCGCGGCAGTGGAAAAAGACGAGTGCGCGCCGTACGTGGAGAAAGGCCAGTCCGGCGAGACACCACGATATGGAGTGACGAGAGCGCGCGACCTTACGAACTCGGCACGCCCGCGCGAGCGACCCTGAATTTTCCACTCGAGTCGAAAGCCACCGAACCTAACCGGCCGCCGCCGCCGTCGTCGTGTAATTGTTCGATGGCGACACGGTGCTTCCGCGGTTAATGCCGCGTTTAGTGCATTCGTCTCCTCGTGAGTGCTTCTATGTCGATAGCACTTCTCAGCATTCGTCGTTGATCGATTATTTTCAGCTGCAATTAACGCTGCTTTTCTTTTCCCCCTTTTTTCATCAACTGTGTGTTTTCGCAGCCAACGTAAACTCTGTTCTGTATAATCGACTGGCTGTTTGCAGTATTGCCCGACCTTTGTTGCCGACTTTTTGTTTGCTTCTATTTTTTATGAACCATTGTGGAAACACGAGATCACTTGTGACCCGATGTGCAACCCGAACAACGTTCGACCAACCAAAATATGAATTTCTCGTGATCGACCAACGATATACGTACAGGGTTCATTTGACGCTCGATTAGCGAAGATTAGGCTTATCGTCAATATGAAATAATTTGCCACCGCCGATGATTGAAATTTCCTCTGAGAGAAACCTTGGCTTTAGATGTGTGCCGAGGCGACGAGGCCGCGGGAAATTGGAGAACGAAGCGATTAATAAAGGGTCTTTGCTTCTTGTAGAGATTTCTCGCGGTAACTAAACTTCGCGTCGCTGCTCCGCATTCACAGCGTAAAGGAGCGATTCACGCTGAAAGTAACACAGCGGATATCAATGTTGCCCGTCGAGGCTCTCAGTTAGAATTACACGCGCGTTTCCTGAAACGTTGTGGACAGCCATCAACCTCTCGAAAGTATCGAAGTTTCGCGTTGCATTTGAGAAATCCCGGATTCGTTCTGGAAATAAATACTCGTCCACGAGAGTTTTCCGACTTCAACGTTGTGAGATCCGCGTCGTGTGTGTGCATGTATTGGGTTGGCAACTAAGTGATTGCGGATTTTAAATAAGAATGAAAATTCGAAATTTTTAATTTGCTTTTTCAAATTTTTTTCAATGCATGTATGCGATACATTGAGCTTCTCTGCAATATCACGTGTTGTGCAGCGACGATCTGAATCGATAATGGCCTTGATATGGATCTCATCGACTTCAACTGGACGGCCAGATCGTTGAGCATTTTTCAATGAAAAATCACCAGAACGAAATCTGGCAGACCAATTTTGACACTGCCTTTCTTTCAAGGCTTCATTCCCATTTCACACGGCACATAACTTCTTGTGTGCTTGCGATGCGTTCTTGCCTTTTCGGAAATAATACAATAAAATATGTCTGAAGTGCACGTCTTGCTCTACCATTTTTAAATTGGGATAAAAACAAAACTAAAGAACTAACCGATATAATTTTTGTACCAAATGAAAGGTAGAAGTCCAAACAATAAGAAAAAAATATAGGTTAGGTACTTTGAACACGTTAACGAAACAAAAGAAAGTGTAAAATCCATCTGTCGACAAAATCCGCAATCACTTAGTTGCCAACCCAATATACACACTCCGTAAGTGACTTTTCCTTATTTCCTTATAAAGATTCGGGTCGTACACAGGTCGACAGGAAACGGGAGTGTGGGTCATTCGATATAAAATTATGCAATCGGGAAACAAAGTCAGTTTCTCCCTCGACGTGTTTCGCCATTAATCAATACTTTGAAATCCAAGAGAGTCTTCTCTTGAAAGTTCTCTATACGCTGTTGCGAATATATCCATTTCCCCTCCCCCCTCCCTGTTATTTGATGCAATTAACACGTTTGATATCCAGCGAACGACGTTGTCGGTCAATTTTTCTCACCGTGATCAAGATTTCAATCCGGCGGTATTCGCGCGTCCGTTTATTTTTCTTCGCGCTACGAGCGAAACTTCCCCACAATTTCCAAGCTTGACGAATATCGCTCGACCTGTTTCGCCGCTGGCGAAAAATTTGTCGCTCTGAGCGTTTTCGTTGTCTCTCGCGTCGGACGGACGCGTTTAACCGTCAATTTTGACGACGGTGGGGCGGCAACTCGTCGGGAGGTCGAAACACACGGGCGTCTTTTTCGCATCCGTCTCGAGAATTCCCGGCGGAATCCGCCAACGGGAAATCAACAGTCTTTCGTATTATCGGATCGCCCCGTCATTCTTAGGTTTCCCGCCTCCGCCGAGGTAAATGTAATCGACCGTTCCGCGGAATGACGTTTTAAACCCTCGACTCGACGTGGGTGGGCGGCAAGAATGATCGCGGGCTCCAGCAGAGCCAAGCCAACTACATTTATCGCGAACGGTCCCCTTTTCCACTCGCTTTTCCCCCATCTGCCGTCGCTGCCGTCTCTCGCAAATGGATGGCCCTAAACTCCGCGCTCGCTCCCACCTAACAACCGGCATTCACTGCCAAGATCAAGATTCGCAGTTTACCACGTGTTGTCAAAGTACATAGGATGCATTTATGCACGAAGATACAAGTACTAGGTGCTGCCCGCTCACTTTGCGATGCAAAGCGACAAGTACACATGAGCTAAATTAACTCTCTTTGCGCTCCAAGAGCGCCACAGTTAGCGCTGGGTCGAACATTTCTTATAATTTATTGCGACGCGTGCGGCGGCGGCGGCTTTCGGGTTTTTTTTAATTTAAATCCAAAATCCGGCCAGCACCGGTATACACGAATTTCAAAATTGGCTTACGCTACTTTGTACTCCGGGGCACGGAGAGTTAGGGGCACGGACGTTTAAAAGTGAATTATTAAAAAGAAATATTTCAACAATGAGATTATTACTTTTATCATATTCGCAGGGACTTCTCATACAATTCGCGCAATTTGACATTTTCCCCGCATAATATTCCGCACCGTCAATGGATTCACACGCGCAATTTCGCACGCCGCCGAAAAAAAAGGAGGAAAGTAAGCGGAAAAAATAGGAAGTTTCCGCAATTGCACGATATTTCCACGGCGTAATTTTTCTTAATTACCCGCCCGCCGCAGAATTTATCGGGCCGACGGTGAAACGGAGGGAGGTAGAAACAGACCGTCTCGTACATTCTGGTCAGACGCAAAAGGAGAATTCCGGGGCCGGGAGGAATTCACCGTTGGGATATCTCCGAAGAAATTTCGCGGATGAAAGATCAGGCGCGTCCTCCCGCGTAATTCCACGAGGAATGTATCAGCCGATCGACGCGGACATACGTTTTCCCGGCCACCCCGCGCGAGACAAACGACCGCGCAATTTCTTCGCTTTCCGACTTGCAGCTGCGAGTCGCGCGCGAAGTTCTGCCAAGATCACTTATCGTATTTAGCGGCTCGTGAATCGAGGCTTCCCCGCCAAGGGGAAGGAGATCCCCAGCTCGGTTGGGGATTGAGGGGGGGTAGATTATCGTCGGCGGGACGGACGGACGGACGGAGCAAGCCGCGAGGGGACTCGCAAAAACCACGAAGACGGTGCGCTAATTACCGAAACTACCGTCTAAAGGGTAGTCGGGCGTTCGCGGAAACAATGAGCTCGGCGCGGAAAGGAAACCGAGCGACGACGTTAATAGCACACTTTTTTAGACATTAATGTGCGTGTCTCGCTGACTCTCTCGTTAAGATATTAACCAGCGGCGAAACGTGAAAAATTATTGTTAAACGACCAGCGACGGGTAGATGGAGATTCAGCGACGAATGCAGTCATGTAGAATTGCGCCACTCGTCTCTCAGCGATAAGTATGTTGGTTTATCAACGTGACAGTAATTCTTCTTGACTGAGTAACCTCCGTCGCGCAAAACACGTACGATCGAATGATTCGATGTTAAATGTATTAAGAGCGGCCATCTCTCCAATTGAAAGCGTCGGATTTCATTCATTTTTCGACATTTTCCATGCTGTCTCCACGTCGTTAGTATTGGATTTGGAAGGAAGCGACGTCGTACTTTTGGCTCAAAATTGAAGCAAATTTATTCATATTTAAAAGCAATTTCAATCAGTAATCAGCAACGGCCGTTGTCTTCTGTAATTTTCTTTTTCTTTGGGCAGCTGCATAATTCTTTGCGCGTGGAATGTTTCTGTTGAAAGTGGTTTTTATACTCTCTTGCGAGGAAGCGAACGCCTTGCCATTAAGGAAGTTCTGCAAGGACCGGAGCAAGTAACAATCCGAAGAAACAATGTCTGCTGAATACGTCGAGTACGATAGAACATCCCAGCCGAGAGCAATATTTTTTCCGCGGGTGGTCGAAAAAGTACGAGTCCTGGCATTGTTCTGATGACATAGAACGCTCCTTCTATTCAGCAGTTCTGACCGTTCTTCTGCGATGCTTTCCTCTTAAAAAAACGGGTCGTTTCCGTTGCGTTTAAGTAACGAATCTCAGGTGGAAATGTGATCGATAAAATTTTTCCCGACAAATCATGCGGCACGCAAGCATCAAGGCAATTCACGTATTCCAGCTCGTGCAGATGCTCGATGACGATTGTATATGATAAATGGAGTATCTCTGCGTAATCTCCCGCGTCGTGTACCGCCGATTATTCCCGATTAAAGTCTTGATTTAGTCGTCATCAGCGATCAACTGGCCGACCAGAGCGCTTTTCATCTTCGATCGGCGACATAACGCGAAACCTCGCAAACCATCTCTCGCGTTCGGTTACGGCATTCTCGCCACACACGGCGGATATTATTTTTCGCTCGAGTCGTGTTTTTCCCTTTTCGAAAGTAAAACAGTATCAAACAGCGAAAATACAGTGTGCTTTGCTCCATTTTTCTCTCGACCGCGAGCGAACGCAAATGCTCCTACAGACAATTTCCACACGTTAAATGACGCTTAGAAGTGCCAGCTGTCATAGTAATAATATGCACACTTAAGCCATTTAGATCAAAAAGTTACATTCTACAAAATAAAACGCACTCCAAAGCTATCATCCATTGATGGAAAACATCACACTTTCCTTTCAACTCAATAATTCCTAGACTCTATTTTCCTGGATATAACGGACGGATAAAATTAATCTTTTAATATCTTTGTTATGTTTAATACTCTCCGTAACCTTTCATAATTAATCACGCCGGTCAGTTAACGTTTCCACGTAATGGTCTACATTTTGTCGGGAACGAAATTGATTCGACTTTTGTCGAAGAATACGCCCGCTCAGAGAGGAACGGCGCGTATTAATCACGCAGACAGTAGAAATGATCGTCTTTCGATTCCGCGAGCTCGCTGGAAGAGCAATATTCGTCATTCAGATCCGCCGCTCGAACAGTCTCGATATATCGTCCCCGTCGTCTCCTTAAACCGTCATATTGGACTCAGCTATCACGTTCCCCATCTGCCGTCTCTCCGGAGAGATTAACGTATATCGCGATTGTCGAGTGCGCGGAGATGGCCGCGATAAAAAGCAAATTTCAGCGGAGCAGTCGTCGACAGAGAGAGAGAGAGAGAGAGAGAGAGAGAGAGAGAGAGAGAGAGAGAGAGAGATCGACCATTTCACTTCAATGTCGCCAAAACCGTCAAGAAATCGCGCGGATAGAAACGACAGACGAAGCGGAGAAGTCGCGACGACGTTACGCGTCGAAGGGCAGTTCTCTTCCGAGACGGTCTCTCCTTTCCATTTCTCCGACGGGATTATCCTCGCGAGTCCGACATTTCGCTTCACGACGATATAACCGATTCTCCTCCGTTTCCCTCCACTCCTCCTCGTTCTCTTTCTTTTCTCCCGTGGTGCTTCCCTTTTTTTATTTTCACTTTTTACCGTTCCGTAGTCTTTGTCGTGGCACGGAGAGCGCGATGGTGGTCCATCGCTTTCGTTCTCTCTCTCTCTCTCTCTCTCTCTCTCTCCCCCCCTCTCTCATTTTGTCGCTCTCGCTCCGCTTTTGTCCTGCCATTTTTCTCTGCTCAAGCGGCCGTAACTTTTCTTCCAGTGGTGCGCCAAAAGTATGAGGTGCAAGTGCGAGATGCCTACGTCCTGGCGGGCAACACCGGGGTGCTCAGGTGCGAGATACCGGCCTTCGTCAAGGAGTACGTCGCGGTCACGTCCTGGTTCCAGGATTCGGCCTTTAACATTTACCCCACCGCGGAGAGTGGTAAGTGCAATTATGCTGACCCACATGAGAGCTAAATATCGCATGAGTCCGGCTCTCCCGGACGAGACGGAGCCCACCACGGGGTGGTATCGTAACGCTGCTAGCGAGAAACCGGAGCTCACTTGAGGCTCGCTCCGGCGCTTGACATCTTTTACGCAGGGCGAAGTAAGCGTGCTCTTTTGAGAGATCTCGCAGCCCATTGTTTATTTCGCGGAGCTTCCGTTGGAGGTAACTCGAGTCTCTCGGATCGCTCTTATTATACGCTCCTTTTACGCTCTCCTTTACATCTTTGCGTTATTTTACATTTTTACGGAACGTTCTCTCAAGTTATCTCTCGCTCGGGAGTAATTCGCTTCGACACACGAGACGCTTAGTCTCATCGATGAAGCTGTATATTTTTTTTCGCTTTCTCCAAGAATCGTCGTCGCTCTTCTTCTCGTTAATTCTGCCGTTTATCCCGTTTATCTTGCACTCTTGGTCTCGCTATTTACAGTACACGTCTAGACGCTGCTAATTCTTCGTTTATCTTGCTGAGCGTCGAGCAGGTGTCTGTAAGGTTGCGCTTTGCCGCTGTGTACGCTGTGTCGCGATGCGCTGAACTTTGGTAATGTCTGAAGAGAAATGGAGAGTCATCGCGCGCTTTTTACGCGCGACGGGGGGTTGTTCGCGGGGATATAAGTTATTCCGCGCTTTAGAATTCATAGGGGCGCCGACCCTTTGTTTTTCCCTAAGCATTGATAAGCGCGCAATAAGCAATCGTAGAAGAACTATTACGGCGCAGCATTGTTGCGCGCTGGAACAAAGATCCGTCGTTGTATTGTTCAGAAATTATTCCGCGCTTTGGAATTCATGAAGCGCTGATTCTTCCTAAGCATTAATACAGCATGGCGCACATAACTGTCCCCCCGCGTTGCAGCGGTGTTCACGGATACACGAGTCTGCGCGCGTCGTAAAATGCAATACACTCGGACGGTAATCCCGATTGAGCGCGATTGTAAATAATTCCTCCGTTTCCTTCTGCGGAAAATCACTCAACAATCCGCGTGCTTTCTTAAGACCGTGTCACGCTAGCGACTCGCGCGGCTGCGACTGCGATTTCTTGTTCTCCAATCACACTTGCGATTGGCGATCGCGGCTGCGGTTAAATACTGTTAACATTGCAAGAGCATTTTCAATATGAATATGGGTTTGATACGATTGAGACGTAAAAAGAAGATATGTGCAATGGTGACATTTGCTATAATTACGGAGTATCACAAGACACTACCACGCAGGAAAATATGGGTGAAACCATGGATAGCTCTAAATAATAGTCTATCTCCTTATTAAATTGTTTTGACATTTAAAAAATAAGTATGTAACACATAAAACAACACTAGATATAACCTTATTCTAATGATCACCGACTTCTACGTGCTATTAAATAAATGTGATTGTGACGAGCGCGTCACGTGATTATACGGGGTTCTGCGATCGGTTGCGACTGCGACTCGAAAAATGGATACGGTCTTTACGCGTACGTCGCGTCGCGTTTGGTCGCTGTTCAAAGGAGAAGCAAAAAACGAGAACGAGGATTCGAGCGTTCGAGCAAACTTGACCTCTGCGTCTGGGAATCCACGAGACACGCGAATCGAGAAAGCGACCGTGAAAGCAAATTTCACGGATTCAATTCTCGCGAGCTCGCGCGCGCGATTTTTTCGCGTCCAGCGTGAAATGGTCTGCCGGGGAAGCGCGCTGAGCTCTCGATAAAAATCCGAAGGACAAACACGAGGGACTTCTTTTCTCCTCGTCGCGCTTCGCATGAGTCACGCGTACACCGGCGGACCGCGACGCGGCGGAACGCGGAACGCGGAACGCGCGCGAGAGAGCGGCGCGCATTATGGCCGGCCCGGTCAATATCCGAGTTAATTAGAGTTTGAGGGCGCGATTCGAGCGGCACGTGTGTACACGCACCGCGTCGGCGTCCTCCTCCTCCACCATCCCCCTCCCCCCGTATAAATCGCGATATTACCAAATGTAGCGCCGCGCCACAACGTGACGTCACGTGGAGAAGCAGCGGGTGGGCGGGGACGGAGGGTTAATAAAATGCGAAGCTGCGCGACGCGTTTTTTTCCTCCTCCTCCTTTTCTTCCTTTCTCCCTTTCGGAAACGACTCTTTTATGCCGCGAAGCCGCGCCTTATGGCTAATATTTCCGCCGATAGTTTCGCGTCTTCTCGCGCGCCGCGTGCTCGCACGGCGCGCTCCGTGGATTGAAAGTTCTCGCGGATCGTTCGCCTGGAAAGTTTCAATCGGAAAATGCGCCGATTCAATTGTCCCGTTAAATTGAAATGGCGGACATAATTTATCGCACGGCCGCGCGCGCGTATAATTCGCGTCTCCGAGCCGCGAGTAATTTTCAGCGATCGGCGGCCTTTATTTTACTCTACATCCGATATCGCAAAACTGTCGCTTCCCAAGGCAATCCCTTTTTACACACAGTTGCTCAGAGTATTACAATATTTTTATCTCGCCTTGTATACGAATCGGTAAGGAGAAAATTTGACTTCAATTCCGCGAGTTCTTCGAGCTCTGCGTAAATATACAGAAAAGGGTACATCTCACCGGTTTTCTCATTTTGAAATATGTTATGAAGGATGAAATTCTGAGTGACTTCCTGATACAACTATATGGGGTCGCTTATAGTTTCCGAGATATCTGATTTTTAAGTTTTGGAATTTTGATTATCCTGGAATCAAATATCGTAAGCTGACATTATTTACAGTACAATCCAAACAGTTAATCCAAACATTGTATATATATAGAAATATAGGAAACAGTATATATAAGCGGGAGTGGGGCTCCGCCCCAAAAAATCCTAACCTAATCTAACTTATTGCATCTTTATATATTGTTGGGCGATATCGAAAAGATCTCCTTAAAAGCCACAACATCTAATTATATGGAAATATTATAACAAGTTAAGTTGAACCAAGTGATAGATCTTAAGAGAACTTTTTCAACAATGTCCGAAAATATATAAAGATGCAATAAGTTAGGTTAGGATTTGTTTGGGAAGGGGCAGAGCCCCTCTCCCGCTTATATACTGTTATTATATACTGTTTTCTATATTTAAAGTGAATGAAAACTGCATTTACCGAGCTCTGCTCTTTGCATCGCGAAAATAACGTTGATATGATATAACGTGCAAATGATACTTTGATATCACGACTTTAATACTCGCTCGACGATATTTTCCATTTTCGCAAGTTTCGTTATAAATATGTTCGCGAATGAGACGACGTAACGAATAAAGAGCGCTAAGTTTATCGTCGGGGCCGACGAATTTTCGCCGGGCGAATTCAAGCGCTCTCGCAATTTCACCCCAACGAGAAGTCAAGCACCTGACGCACCATGGAAACTTTCTCAAATTCGTTTTCCCCGTATGTGTCATAATGGCAGGCATTGTGCTCCGCGCGCTCTCGCCGACTCAGCCGAGGAAAGAGGAACGAAACGTGACGCATTGTCGTCGTGTTTCGATCGCGACTACTAGCGGCTTTTCAAGACACCCCACGTGCGTGCGCAGCATTGAACGCAAAAATACCCTCTCTCTTTCTCGCCGAAGTATTTTCGTTCTACGTCCCCTCGTTCGTTCGTTGCCACCTGCCGAATTCGTCGAATGTTTCCATCGTTATAAATTACGTCCACTCCTCTCCCCCCCTCACCCCTGTCGAGCAAACGACGAAGTTTCTCGCGTCGACAGGTTCCAGCCGCTCGACGCACGCCAAAGTTTTCTAGGTGATTCGTTTTCCATTTAGAAGCGCGCATCTTTCGGAGTCTCCAAGTCGCTCTCTCTCTCTCTCTCTCTCTCGCTTTCCCTCCTGCTCCCGCCCCCCCTCCCCCGTTCAGATTAGATCTTCCTCTGCGAGCCGGCCAAAGCGCGGGATCTCGTTTGATTTAATCCGAGGTTTCGTCGTCTACTCGACAGACGTGAAGAAACGGCTCGTTTATGAAGTTTAATCGCTTTCGGGAACAGTCTCGCGCGCGCACGTGGTGCTCCAGCGTTAAATTTACTCTCCGTATAAAAGCCTCTCTCTGTCTTTTCGACATCGGCGGCGCAGGCCGCCGATATTGGTGCGCAGGCAGACTCGGGAATAAATGGACTAAATTGCAATGCACAGTCGCTGTACGGCAAATTCGGCTGCGATCTCTCAACGGTGTTTACCTTTTTGACAGATCGAAGCAGCCTGCCCGATCGAAAATATCGAATATCGATGATCGATTCGGGACGATGTTAAACGCGAAGGTAACTTGAGGTGGGACTAAGCGCAACTTTTAGGCTCCAAACTCTCTCGAGCTTTCAAATTTTCCCGATCCCACGTGATGCGTTTCTCTCTCTCTCTCTCTCTCTCTCTCTCTCTCTCACTCTTTGCACACACGTGGCGCAAAAAATCGCTCTAATTTCGCGAATCAGAAAGATACGGCGCGCGCGATATGAATTTTTCCGGCAAACACAGCCGCAATGTAACATGTTTGCTCATTACACAAAGTGTCTGAAAAGCATATAAACAAACAGCAGGTCGTTTCTCTCGGAACACTCCGCTCGGTTATTAGTTTCGCGCACGCCGTGAGCACGTTTGCGAGCGACGGATAGCGGCTGTATCGACGCTTCGAGAGAGTCGACGTGAAGTGCCGGAGATGGCTACCACCCGGATGCAAGCAACTCCAACACGAAACGTTCAACCGCAATGCAAATTAGCTCGAGCTGCTTGTCTATGGGAACGTCGAACTATTCCGTCCACAGCAGTCGTCTCGGCGGCTTCCATTTGTTTCTGAGCTACCTCGCAAGTGCGCATTCGGTGCTAACATACGCTAAAGAATGGACTCCGTGTTCCGGAGCGTCCAGCTTTGCGCGATAACCTTTGCGTAATAACCGGGGCCATAAGCGTTACGGTATAATTTATTACGGAACTCGTGTGTACGTGTGTGCGTACTTTTGGCTTTATTCTTTTATTTACACAGC